TGGGTTTTTTTAACGGATTAGGGTTTTTCGCCAATTCGAGATTTTAGTGGCCAATTTTTCATCGATTTAGTCAACTCTTTATTGTAGTCCATATATGATTATATACTTAATCCACGATATTTCTATAATTTTTTTTTTGTGATGTAAATTTAATGGTCAACATAAGTTCATACAGGGAAATAATATTTCAATATTCATAAATTGATGAAAACAATGAAAGTTAATAATGTAGTACCTTCATTTTTTATTGGATTCATACAAAACAACATTTATAATGAATTTTAATAATTTTTTTGTAGTTTTTTAAGGCCTAATCAAAGCGATTCGGCCCTATTCTCGATCCCGATCGCCGATGCCCGATCCGCGTCACCGATCCATTTTTTAAACCACTGGTCATCGAATAAGAGATGCGTATTGTTAGGAAAGTACTCAAGAACGTTCAAACTTGACTTGATTAATAGAATAAAAAACTCTTCCAGTTACCTTGTAAGTATATAGCGCTTATGGCATGCTTGTTCGGTCTCTTAAACTTTGCCTTAATAAAATCCATTGTTAGCCTAGCTGTGGCTATGTATCAAATGGTAGATATGATTTAAAAAATGTCTTCACAAGAGCAAGAAAGAAATACTTAGTCACGTTCGTCAATTATTTCTCTCGGTATACCTACATGTATTTGTTAAAATAAATACGAGGCTTGCAAAAAGTTTAAAATTTATAAAGTCGAAGTTGGGAATCAACTTGAGAGGAAATAAAATCTTAAGGAGTGATCAAGGTGGCGGAGTGCTTTTCAAATAATTTCCTAGATTTTGTAAAAGAAATGGTAATATTAACCAAATAATCAACACCTTGAACCCCTCAACAAAATGGCTTCATTGAAAGAAATGTTGCTAGAAATGGTTAATGTTATAATCATCAATTTCAGATTTCCTATTATCATTGCGGTGTCTTTTAATATGTTTTATTACAAGAGGAATTTCATATAAGAGAATAAATGAGACATCCTAAAAAGTAACTTCAATTGGGTTTTTTTTCGAAGTGTAGGGTTGTTCAGCAAATGTTATATTTAAAAATAAACGAATTTACAAACATTAGACCCCGAACTTCCCAATGTGTTTTCATTGAGTTCACATACTAGTAAGGCACAAGTTTTAGAACTAAGTTTTAACGTTATGATAAATCTAGATACGTTGATTTCTTTAAGAATGTAACCATAAAAGTGAATTAGAAAATGTGGTTTTTCTTTCAGAAAGAGATGAACAAGAAACTTATAATGAACTCATTGGTGAGGTCGTAGAACCGAGGAGAAGCAGCAGAGCAAGAAGTGATCTATCATTTAATATCTACCTAGTAGAGGCAAACCAAAATAAATTTTTGAACGAGATATGGCTTTAAATTTGGGGGAAGATCCTTCCTTATATTACATGATATTGTATTTTGAAAAGAGCTCATTTGGAGTGTGATGGATTCAAATCTTGCAATAACACATGGAGAATAATGGCTTTCTGAACCCTTATAAACTATGAGTTGTAAATAGATTTTTAAAAGGAGAATGAATGTTAATCGATCCATTATTAATTATAAGGTCGAATTAGTTGGCACATTGCTTAGAGAAAAGGAGGGTATAAACTATTTTAACACATATGCTCTTGTTGAATGGATAACTGCGGTACGTGTCACTTGCAGTGGCCTTGATGAATCAATTTATTGTTCACAAAATTGATGTGAACATTCCATTCTTAAATGGTGAATTAGACGTTAAAAATTATATAGAATAACTCAAAGGGTTTGTTACGTCAAGTCATGAAAAAGAATTATATAAATTGGTTATGCCTCTTTATGGAATAAAACAAGCACCCAAACGATAGCATAAGAAATTTGATAATGCAATAGTTATCAAATAGTTTCAAAAGAAATAAGATAGACAAATTTATTATATTGTAATTGTGGCTAGGGGATTTCTAAGAACTCGTAACCCTAAACAATAGGACCCAAACCTAGCCACCTTTCTGGACCTACCCAAGAACTAAAACCCAGCTTTCCAACTCATCTAAGGTCTTAACTTACTCATCCTAGACCCCCCCAAACCTAACGACCATCAAAAACTACCCTATGTACTAGCTGACGACAAGAAGCCCTGAAATTCACACCTTGAACCTAACACTATAACCCCTTCGATAATCTAAATTGATTCAAATTCCAAGTGTCCGACCAACGACGAAGGTAATGAGTTTGAAACTTGGAGTTCCAAAGGAAGAATGTTCAGTTACAAAACAAAAAAGAGAAAAAAAAGACATGCAAGTAAAATTGGGAAAAAAAATTTAAAGGGTGCGGTTTGCATAGAGCCGAGGCTCTAAACATTCGAAGTAAATGCACCTACCTTTAAATAGTGTCAAGAAATACGGTTTCAATATTGAAGATATTTGTTATAGCCTTAAAGTATATTTTCATCTCTAATTATAAAATTTAAAGTTTAAAAAATAGTGTAGATCGAAGATATCTATAAAACCTTGAAAAATATTGAGACTTGACCATCCAAAAATACATTACAAGATGTATTATTTTCAAAACTTGAAATCCATTTTTGTTTTCGTATACATGTGTCTTTAAGCCGAAATGGATCAATTTGAATATATTTAGGGTACACATATGATTGTTTTGAGTTGTGTTGGCGAAATTTTTGAGGTACGCGCTAATGTGATTGTTTAGAGCCTCCAACTTATATAATTTTTTTTTTTGTTTTTAATGTACGACTTAAAATAACTCCCAGCCGCCCAGCATGCTTCTCCGTCTCACGTGTCCCACTCGTACTCTTGGCACGAGCTAAGGATTCTTCCCGCTAAACCAAAATCCCGTCTCCCATTTTTAACTGTAAATGCAAACCACCACGCTCTCCCTCTCTCTCTTACTGTTAGTCCCATAAAAGTAGATAATTACTCCCATTTTCAAAATTTCCAAAGCTCGTTTCTTCCCTTTAGATTTTTTTTTCCCTCTTGTCTCTCTCTCATTCTCTGTTTTGTCGCGAGTGAGGCCGAAATTATAAGAGAGATGAGGAAGACACGAGTCGTTGCAGAAATTCCATGCGCGAAACTCATGGTGCAACGCCCTTCCACGCTCCCCCCTCACGCCTCCTCCTTTATAAATACCCTTTCTTTTCCTCCGCTTCTTTGGGTTCTTCTCTTAACGTTTCGGTGCTCCTCTTGTAAGTTCTCTGCTTCTCCTCTTTGCCATTTCTTTTGCTTCTGGTTCTTACCATTTTAGGGTTTGCTTTTGAATTTCTTTCGCTATTGCTTTCGTAGTTTCTGGTTTCTTGTCCACTGTTGGAGCTAAGGGATCCGTCCAGATGGACACTTTCGTTTTTTTATACTGTTCCGACTCTCTCTCTTTCTCTCGGGTTTCTTGCGTCTCACAAGGTTTTGGAAGTCGTTAATGGTTAGGGGTTTGGCATCTCAGGTGTAATGTTGGAAGTTTGTGGATTCTGGTGCTTTTGTGGTTCCCTTGAGTTTCTGAGGCCTTTTCTCTTTTATTTTTTATGATTGATATGTCGATTATTGTCCTGCTTTGTTGGTTTCTAGGTCATCAAATGATGGGATTCCATCGGAATTTTAATTTTCTAATAGATAGTCCAATTCTTTTCATTCTCTTCGACTTCTCCATCTTTTCACAGTTGAAGCTTTTGCAAATGTTTATCGAAAAAGTACTAAATTTTCAAATTATGAAATGGTGAATTCCTCTGTTTTTGTATGTTAAAATTTATTTTTGTCTGATTTAGAACTTGTCTGTTTTACTGAATTATGCTTTCGCTGTGTGATTTCACTTCAGGAGATATTTTCTCTTTAGTTTTTTCATGAGAGCATATAATTAAATTAGCTGTTTGTCTACTTCTGTGAAACTTTGATTGATTGGAGTTGTGGGTTTGTTTTCTTCTTCTTGCATATAGGAAAAAATGCCATTTATTATGATGTTTCCCTACAGAAAAACAAAACTCTTTAAGCTGAAGCGCTTAATCTACTTGGCTAGCATGTCTGCATCTCTCTTTATCTCTGAGCTTTTCAGTATATTTTATAGCATCTGGGTAAGCCGATAAGATCAATTCATGAAGAAATTCACTGTACATCTGAGCATTTGTTATTGCTCATAAATGATTGAAGTTCCATGTTTTCCTCCATATGTTTTGTATGAATACTAATTAACAATGCCTTGCAAAACAAAAGATGGCATTTTAATGTTTGAGTCTTTGTTGTCCTTATTAAACTCAAGATATACATATTTTCTTCGCATCTGATAACCCTATGATTTTGAAGGTTTTATTTGTGTTTTCATGACATTAAATATTGGTGGTTATACTTTCTTGAGCGCCATACTTATCCTTGCCTCTATGCAAGTGTTTGTTAGGGGATGTCAATTGTGTATGTTTATTCAACCAACTCATTTTAATCAGTAGTAGTCACACAAGCTAAGAGGATTGGCACATATTGAGGTTGCATCTGGTAAGATCTTTCAATCCTTTTCTAGATATGAGGTGCAGATCCTTCAATCTCTTTCTAGATATGAGGTGCCTTGGCTTCTTTGTCTTTTATTTTCTTTTCTTTTTATTCTGGTGTATTTAATTGTCAGTATATATTGACACTTTGTCCTAATGGAATGCTTGGCACATGGGGCTTTCCTATTCCTCGATGAAATATACTTGACTTGAGCAGTAATTTATTTCTTCTTATGGTATGTTAATTGGCACTCGGTGAGAATGGAACTATAGACATCGCGTTGTGACACCTGCCCAACTTGGCCACCTCTGCCTAGAGCCTGTTCTTGACCCCCTCCTGTGCTTGAGCTGTAATCACGCTGTAATCCCTTGCTTACATTGTAGTTAACTGATTCCAAAGCTTGATTTGTTGTCTACACTATATATTCATCTGTTCAATATCAGATTTTTTCCCCATACACTCCAATTTCAGATTTTTGTCAGTCGTGGAACTTAGATTTGGTTATCAGAAAAAGAAAAAGACACATCATTTCTCAAAGGATGGTGATGCTATGTTAATAATGCAGTTTCTTGTTCAGTGCATTTACCATAGAAGCCGTATGTGTTTGATGGTGCCCATAGAAAACCAAATTGACCCCTCTTCTCCTGAGACAATTGCAAAACGGATCATTGAGACCTAACCATTCCATTGGTCTACTAACATTCATGCATGTGTGCAGTGATACATTGATGCATAAACTATCCCTACTTGCACCAACACATATATTTATATGTGCACCAACCTCCAAACTCCTTGGTGCAGTGCATATTTGATGTACTTCTCTCATCTCACCTTTATTACTGATTACTTACTCATTTTGAGTCCCTTTCCTTAACTGGTTGATTCCAGGCATCCTCAATTGGCGGACCATATATTAATGGCTTTTAGTGGGGCGCAGTTTAAGTCTAGAATTGGAAGTTGTGATCCAATACATGTCTATCGACATCAACGAAGGGAATGGAAGGAACGCATATGTGGAATTGCTAAATCAGTTTATGTGCCATCATCGCAAAGGAAATTGTTTGCGTCTCACTTATACTCCGGGAGTCAACGATCACTGCCTTTGAGGGGAATTATTAAGGTTACATGTTCCCAGGGAAATTCCATTGCTCCACCAGAGACCAATGAAGATTCTGATTACCTAAGCTCGTTTATGAACACGAATGAAGTGGGTTCCATCACAAAGTTTAAGATGTCAGACTTTGTACTCTGCAATCATGTCAGTATCGGACTGGCTGGCAAGGTGGATATTACCCTTTGTATTCTAACAGTGTTGTTTGCTTGTAACTATAGATTTTCTTGTAGCTCTCTGTCTTGCTAGAATGCGGTGTATGAACTTTTACCTTGATTAGTTTATCATGGAATTGTTTTTTATCTCATTTTTAGGGGTTTCTTATTTGCATAATGATTCTAATGCAGGGGGATGAGGTGATTTTTGAAGCCATAGTGAGAGATTCTCACAGGTAACTTGCTTTTATTTGGATTGTGCTTGACACTGTTTTTTTTAAAACAAAAGATCTTAAATGAAGCTCTTTTAGCAATTTTGTTCCTTGTGGGGGAGGTTCCATCAATTTATAATTTTTTGTCAACCTCTATGTTAAGTTGCACATAAAACTATATAACATCTCAATTGTTCTAATGCAACAGTCCTCTGTATAATTCAAAAGTTGTACTTCGACAACTTGCTAGTTTTTATGCACAGCGTCGAGGAAGGCGTGCCCTTGAGGTAAGTCTTTTCCTTTTGTATCTATAACTTATATTTGTTGATGCATGATCATATACGATTATAGTTATGAGTTTTTTGTTTGGTGTTGGGCCTGCCCATTGAGATTAATGGCTCAAATCAATTAAATGGGAATACTGAGTTTGAGTTTTGAAACACCTTTCGCCAATTTGCAAAGTGGTCCCATATTTCAAGGTCTATTTGAAACTATAAACGCCATCCTTTTTCAAGAAAGCGACTAGTATATCCTTAGCTTTTGTAAGAGCAGCCTTAACACACCAATCCTTTGAAAAGTGACTAAAATGTCCTATACTTTAGAACCCTGACTGTATGCAGACTACTCTCGAATTCCAGGGACCTATGTTTACCCATCCTCACTTTTGTGATCGTGCGTCATGTACAAATGGTTTGGCTTCCCACCCACCTCCCTCCCTCCCTCTCAACAACATCATTCCCTATTCCTACAAGTGTCTTGTAGAGTTTCAGTGAATGTAGTGTACGTAACATGCTGGATCTATAACACCAATTTGGGACACTTTGCAGGTCCTCAAGAAGCTTGCTCGACAGAAGCTTATGTATCATTCATACGCAATGCAGGTCCATGGTTTTGTTTCACCATCCAATGGTGTTGATCATGGCTCTTTCACTCTGGTCCATGGAGTATGTCAAGGATTATCAATTATATCAAGGATTATCAATTCAATCATTTCAAACTTCTAGTAGTTACACAATGAAAGCACTTCTGTGTGCTTCAGCATTTTATTATGCATTCAGTTTGTTGGAGCTTCTAGAGTAATTGTGAATTTATGTTTAACCTTTACTTGTATATGGTTAACCTTTTACACTTAGCATTTTACACTTTTATGGTTAACCTGGAGTTGGACTGATTTATGGCTTCTTCTAGTATCATGGCAGCTTTTCCCTTCAGCATTGGCTTCAACAAGCAGATTGGCTTCCAACCTTAGAAGCAACTCTGGCACTGGATGAAGAGTGTGCAAGGCGAGTTGGTGATGCCACAGTTGGGGGACCTGCAGTTTCTCGTCAGCTGAGACTTATTAGGATTTTAATGAGGGATCTTTTGATTGGTGTAAGTCTCGTACTCATCATTCCATTGGGGTTCCTTAAGAGTTCATGATCTTTAAACAATACATTGTATTCTTTTGATAACAGTTTTCAGAGAGTTGTGCTGTTTGTCTTTCTCAGGTGAATTATTTGCACAGCCATGGGCTTGCTCATACTGAGTTAAGATTAGAGAATGTGCACATCAGCCCAGTGGATAGACATGTTAAAGTAAGCTCAAGTGGATGATCGATGTTGCTTTCGTTTCTCTTGGATTTTAATCTCAACTATGTCAACAGTGCTTTGATTACTTATTTCTAGGTTATGGTTTGCTTTTTGTATGAGTTCTGGTATACTTTAGGTTATTGTTTGCTTTTTGTATGAGTTCTGGTATACTTTAGGTTATGGTTTGCTTTTTGTATGAGTTCTGGTATACATAAGATTGTTTTTTTTGTATTAATCATGTGTCTTCTATCTTTCCTGGTCTTCTTGCTTTGGGGCACGCCATCCTGTTATGACACTCAACAGACTGGTTACTTCTAAATTGACTCTTTTCATAATGAAACTAACACAAGGAAAAACATTTCTATATTCTGGTTCTGCAGGTAGGTATTCTAGGGAATGCTTCATACTTTCATGATAGCGATCCACTTGAAAGCAACATTGATAGAAGGCAAATGATGATTGCATTTGACATAAGGTATGATACTATGATCAGATAAGCCTCAAATCACGATATACCCAAAAATGCATGGAATGGATACACGCATATATGGGGCTACCTCGCATCGCTTTTGAAATTGGATTGGTCTACAAAACTATTTTAGGACTTGTCTCTAATACACCTCAGGGGCATCTAGATTATTTTCACTCAATCGTATGAGTGGTGAGCTTAGCTTTTCAATATCTATAAGTGGGGCGATTCCCAACATGCCTGGGTGATATCATACCGATCTTGCCAGCCCTGTGGTGGGGTAAAGAACCCATCATGTCCCTTACTATTGTGGTAGGGTAAAGAACGCATCATATCCCTTATTCCTTTGAGTGGTAATTGTGTAATAGGAATTGATGAATATTTTACCTCAAACCCTAGTTTCTTAGGTTCGTAAATGCCTGGGGAATGAAAGTGTGTGTGAATGAAGTTGATACGTGTTGCATGAAAGCTAGAAAATAAAACATCCTATATAAATTGAAAATGCACTAAAACTGTACTCACAATAAAAGTAAAACAAAACTGAAAAATAAGTCCATGGAGACTGCATCAGGCCAACCCGCATATTGCAGAAATGCGGGCTTGGCAATAAATATATTTTTTTTAAAATAATTTAATCATAATTTTTGGAGAATATATAATCTTTAACATGGAGATCATGAATATGAAAAAAAAATTGAAAACTAGAAATAATAATTATATTAAAAAGACATTTGGACCTATAGTTACACTTGTTTTTAGATGGACCACCTACTTGCATCCATCTTTAAGATGGATGCTTCTCAGGACCTCATATTGTAGAAATTGACAGTCCATCCCGCATGAAACAATTTTTCTTTTGAAAAGGTATATTTGGTAAGTGCTTCGAGGCAAATGGCACTATGGTGGCTTGGCTAAACCAGGAGCTCTCAACCCATCTGTAGTGCTTGACCCACCCTAAAGTGTGAAGCCATCTGCAATTTTTGCTCGTCTTCTGCTGTTTGGTCACTTTGCAAGACTGAGCAACCTCTTTTGATTCCAGGAACGATTTCCTAATTTTGTATTCAGTATATAGTGTACTCCAATTTGTACAAGGAACACTTTAAATACCTATTTAAGGACAAAGTTTCTCTGAGTTCCCCACCTCACCTATTTTAATGAGTCCTCTCTCCAAAATCTAATTAAAATATGGATTTTGGATCTAAAATTTTAAAGATTGAAAATCTAAAACATGATAACTATGAATCTGAAAAAATAAATTTAAAAAAAAAAAGAGATTTTTTTTAATATAGATTGAACACCATTAGTTTTGAATCTAGGTGGCCCACCGTTTATTTACATCCATGTACACAACGCACCAATTACTTTTCCCCTATATGATACAGTTGCCTGTGTTAAAAAAAACAGTAAAAAAAAAGCAGAATATCAAAGAATATGGAGGATCAGAAAATGAGAGAGATAATGGAAATTAAACTGAAAATTTTGGCATTGAAGGAAAAGAACTGAAATGTACAATGAGACCCTAAAAGAATTACAGAAGCCTTTCATTATCCTGGTGCTGGTTTTACAGATGTGTTGGGTTTATGATGGCAAAAATGGTGTTAAGGGAACTCATGGATCCTTCCATCTTCACTAAGTTCAAATCATTCTTGACAAAGGTTAGGCACAAAATCTTCGTCCTTCTATTCCCCTTTTCTTTGTCTGATTTATTTTCAAATGATTACTCTGATCTTTGCTGAACATGTAGGGAAATGATCCATCATGCCTACGTGAATTTCTGTTGCCTCTCTTATCCCAAAATTCTCCCTCTGGAAATATTGGATTACAGGTTTGCTGCCCTTTTTACCCTATTTGCTGATAATCTAGCCGTATTAGTTCTTAGGTACTTATTCTTGAAATTATTTACTAGGGTCATGATTGATGGTTTTTTAGATGCTAGATAGGAACTGGGGTGCTGGATGGAACCTTTTATCATTGATGCTAGCAACAAAGCCTGCTGTCAAAATCAGGTAAACTCAATATTTTCCTTAATTGATTTGAAAGAGAAAATATTCCCTTTTATGTTGATGTTGTCACACTATAATTTCTATAATGAAGCTCAGTGGAATACACCTCTTTATTTTTATTCTTATGGTTGCTTTTTCTTGGTAAGCTGGGGACTTGGACATGCACTTCAAACCTTGATTGGCAGTGAGCTTCATATCTTTGAATCTTTGGCAATCAATAATATTTTTGAATGTGAAATCACTAAAACGAAAGACTTTCTTTTTTCCAAATGAATCATCATTATTTTCTCACTCATTTTTTTTCCCATCCCTCTTTTTTTTTTGTTGGGTTGGGGTGGGGGCGGGGGGGGGGGGGGTTTCGGGGGTGTGGGAGTGGGAGTGGGGGGTGGTTAGATGTCCTAGGTTTTTTGCCAATAAGGTAAATTCCTACATATTCTGCAAGTGATTGTGATACTGGGGGAATAATGCAGCACATGTTCCTTTCTTTTTGTAAAATTGATTGATATATGTATTTAACTTAGAAAACTCTCAAGTAATTTGGTTTATGTTTTCTTTTTTCTCTTTGTTGGTTTTTGTTTTCATGTTTTACTGATTTGTTTGTATTTGGTGACGCACTTTAAACTTTTAAAGTAGTAGCTTTTGTATGTGTTGCAGTTGTATTTGCAGTTTTTTTTAGAGGGTTGTAGACAATGAGACTATTTACTTTTAGTATAAGGAGGCCAGAACTACTCATAACCATCCGATATAAAATTTGATAGCTTGGGTGTGTCACAGAGTTCGAAAGAATTTCTTTTAAACTTTGAGCTTGGTCAGTGGAACAAATGCAGTCACCTAATTTCACATCTAATGGCTAAGTTTAATTGTGACTTTCTTGTACCAAAGGTGAATGGTCTTATTGTATACTTTCTTTTTTTGAAGGCAAAATAATGCAGGGCATGTAATTTCCGTTTTGTGAAACTGATTTATCTAACTTAAAAAAACTTTTTTTGTTTGCTTTGTGACACGCGTTAAAGTAGCAGCTGTGAATTTGTTGCAGCTGTTTAGATGCATTGAGGCACCCTTTCCTATGTGGTCCAAGATGGCGGGTTGATCCATCCATGGAACTTATCAAGTGGAGCTTGGGTTCGATGGCTGTTAAGATTACAGAGGAATACATATACGGTCTTTCTCAGGTTTAACACTTCCATAATGAATTCCAGTATAACTTGTGTGTAAATCCTTTTGGTTTTTTATTAAAAGAGAAGGTTTTATATGCTTTAAAATTTGAGAACTATGATATCTATTCTCCTCCACTTGCTCTCAGTACGTAACAAAACATACGATCATATCTCTCTCTCTCTCTCTCTCACACACACACGCACAAACCCACACTACATGAATGAGAAAGGACAGTTTTTGGTAAAATTACCAAGCACTATGTTTGTTACCATCACATTTCCTTTTTCCGATTCTGATTTTTTTCTTTCATATTGTTGCTCATGTGCCTGCAACTAGCTAGACACATAAACAAAAGATTGCATGTGGTGAAACTCTTGGGAATTTTGTTTCATGTGTAGCGGAACCGGTTGGCGTACTTCATTGAACTGTTGGAGATGCTCAACCCTTATCCAAAGCTCAAGGTATAGTACAAATTTTCATCGCCTTGTCCTTTTCAAGTGCATCACATTCTCTCATAGTGCGTTACAATGTGATCTTACTGCAAACAACTCTCTCTCTCTCCCTCTCTCTTTCTCTCTGCACACACGCGCACGCACAAAGCTATTAGGGCATTTTGTTCTCACCATCAAATCCTCACAGAACTGGCCAAAACTCCTACCGGGCACATGGCGGCTTCTATACTGCACCGGAACACACATCGGCCTCACCCTCCGCCAAGCCTCTCCCTCTCTTCTCATTGGAAATGCCTATCTCACCATAACCCCTTCGGCTGTCCCTGCTCTCACTTTTTCTCTCTCGTCAAACATTGACTTTACCCTAATGCCCCAGACTTGGTGGCCCCATAACAAAAAGACCAACTTTACCGGAAAGCTAAAAACATCTCTCAGGACAACGATAACTTCAGGAATCAGGCACTATCTTGACGAATCTCTTTCTGAAAAATCGGGGCTTCCCTTACCGGAATCTCAAGAATCAACCGCCAGGAAGTCAGCAAAGTGGGGTAGGCAGGGCCCGTTTAGCCTGCCTATTGCTAGAGTGGTCCCCGTAGAGGAGCTGGTGGTGGGATTGGAGTTGGGTTTTTCACCAGAAAATGATGAAACTGGGGGAAAAATTTTAAAGGAAGTGAGATTGCAGATCCCACCTGAGATGTTTGATTTGTCAAAAATTACGTGTGGAACCTATGTTGATGAGAGATTATTGGTGTTAAGGGGAGTGTCTGGTCTTGCACTGCTCTTTACAAGGTCGTTTCCTGATCACAGGTAACTGTGAAGAACATTTGAGCAGAAAATTTAGTTACCATGGTTTTTTCTTCTTATTCTTTCAAGGTATATGATTTTAAATGATTGTATGCAATTTAATGAATGTAAATCAATGAATGTTGGTGTTTCATATTGTAATTTAAATGATTGTATATATGATTCTGAATATGCAATTGGGAAGAATACCCAGCGGCGTTTTATGTTACGTGGCACATCCGCCATTCACTCCCTTAAACAGAGTGAAGGTTATTTATGGACACCAGCGTTTTAGGGAATGTCACTTAAATGTCCTGGTCTTATGGTAAGCTCTCTTTCCTAACCGCAATAAGCAAGTTTTCAATTTAAGTACGACTCCTTTTTGAAAAGTAACCTCGAGTAATAACTTCTGAGTTTATCAAAAACCATGTTTACAAGAGTGCATTTTATCTTTTTCCCAAAAAAAAAAAAATCTAGAAAAGAATTTTCCTTGTTTTTTATGTCCTAAGTTTCTTGGAACTTCATGTCTAAAAAGTGATATCAGTATTTAAAAATAGCTTCTCATCGTATTTTAGGAAAAGAAATATTCTAGGAAAATGGTATTACCCGAAAAATTGGAGGCAGAGGAATAATAACCCAATTAATAATCTTGTTTTTACTTTAAAGCCAAGAACGCCGAAATGAAGAGGGCGATGAGGTCACAACTACGCATTAAAGCAATTGAGTCTCAAAAGTGAGGTTCAAATATTGAGATTTGCTTGCGCATATTTTATGGTACGGTTTTATATTACTCTCTGTAAACCTAAGTTTGATTCATCTCCTTTTTTTAGGTTTTCATTGTCAGTATTTCATATTTTTAGATTTTTAGATTTGGGAAAGCTCTACACCATAGAAGTTCTATGTTCCCTATTATCCAACCTCTAAAATTGTTCCAATCACAATGTCACATCTCTACACTGTTTTGATCAAATTTTGGATGTCGATTCTTTTATTAAACTCGTACTAACGAAAAATATAAAAAAAAATATTTTCAATAAAATAAAATGACCAAAATACCCTTGAAAGTTTTAAAGGGTATTTTGGTCATTATTTTTTATCGAAAAATTATTGTTGATATTTTTTATAGGTGCATACCAATGAGAAGATGGTACGTACCAAATTTCATATTAAAAAAGATTGTATTAAAAAGATAACAATAAAATACTTTGAGACGTCGGATCTCAGATCAAATGATGAATCTCTTGATAAAAAATAAACGGTTGGATGGTAGGGGGAACATAGAAAGCTTTTTTCTTAAGATTTGTGTTAAATACAATCCTAAACTGAGTTCTTTGTTTTTTTTTTTTCTTTTAGCCATCCCATACCTTGGTTATTACTTTTGTTATTTGTTGATGTAGTTGTGGTTTTTTAATGACTGTTTATAAAATTTTATTAAGATCTACTGAAATAAAATTACATCGTCAAATTTTATTAAGGTCTACTAAAATGAAATTACATCGTCTGTAAAAGAACTCCCCTTTTGCCAAGGCATGAGCCATATCATTGGCTTCCTAATAGATATGTAAAAAAGACGTGGATAAAGAACTAGCCGAGTCGAGCACCCGGAACAGTACAGTTCGCATCTCCACGGGACCTTCTGTTCTCTTTTGCAGCACTTTATATTATTAAAGGAGTACCCTTCTATCTCACAATTGCTCCTAGATGCAAAAACTTCAAGCCATGAATAACATTAAGGGAGTCCCCTTCTATCTCACAATTTCTCTCTAACTTCCTAGATGCACAAAGCTTCAAGCCATGAAGAAGAGCCAAGAACTCTGCCTTATTCACAGTCGTGCCCAAATGTCCAGCATAAGAGAACATTATGCCCTTTCCCAATTTTGCACAACACCACCAAACCCAAAAATCCCCGAACTTCTTAGTTAACTGCCATCAAAATTAAGTTTATAAGCCCAACAGTATAGCCCCTTCCCAATTTTGCGCAACACCACAATCCCCGGATTTCTTAATGAACTACCGTTAAAATTAAGTTTGTAAACCCCCACCACAGGAGGAACCAGTGACCTTTAGGCCTAATCTTTTTACAAGGCCTAGTTGAAATAGTTTGGGTAGATTTGACCTTACGTCCATTTCAAATAAGCTCGTACCTTCTTTTACCACAAATAACCAAAGCCACAATGAATGAAGAATCTTCTCGAACACTCTTCAAAGGATAAAGACATTCTTTCAAAAACTCTTCTATTTTTTTCTGTCCATACCTCTTATATCAGTGCACATCTGCCAATCTACCCTATTATTTTCCCAATTTGAGGCATCCCCTGAAAAGATAGATCAGAGATAATCCCAAAGGCATTTTGAGGAAGCGCCAGACTCAACCCTAATTGAGAGAAGAACCAGTACCATATTCTAGACACAAAGGCACAGTAAAGAAACAGGTGAGCACCTGTTTTGGCATCACTTTTGCACATCAAGCACATATTTGATAATATATTCCCTCTTTTGATAAGATTATCAACTGTCAGAATTCTATTATGTATCACCAACCACAAAAAGGTTTGGATTTTGTGAGGTATTGGTCATTTCTATACATGATTCACTTCAGGTAGCGACCACTGCCACCTGTCATGGAACAGTAGCCGATATATAGATTTAACAGAGAACAACCCATCACTCTCGATCTCCCAAACTATCTTGTCCTCAGCCATCCTTGGAATATAAACCTGATTTAGAGCCTCCAACAATGAATTTAATTGAGAAAAGAGGTTTCCAAATATCCAATTGTAAGACAAACTAATATTCCATACTATCTGCCCACCCTAGCCTCAAACATATCTGCCACCAATGCATTTAGGTTATCCACCTTAGCAAAGATCTTAAGAAAAGTAATTTTTAAAGGACACAAACTTATCCACTCGTAGTGCCAAAAGGAGATATTGGTGACATTCCCTTTGTTCCACCGAGTAGTGCCAAAAGGAGATATTGGTGACATTCCCTATATTCCACCGCACATCCCAATGAATTAGGGATTTGCATAAGTTGATCGACCTCCAGAAAAACGACATATCCCTACTAACACACCTCGTACCAATCCACATTCCAAACCGATTTATACCATATTTGGCCACAAGTACTTATAGCCATAAATGATCTCTCATATGCAAGTTGCACCACCACCATTTACATAATAAGGTTTGGTTCAGCAATTTTATTTTCCGTAACCCTAGTTCCCCTTCTTTCTTGGTGTACAAACATTATCCCATCTAAAAAGATGGAAGTTTCATGAAGCATTAGAGGAGCCCCACAAAAAGTTCCTCATCACCCCTTCTATTTTTTTAGCCACAAAAAATGGAACTTATATAATAAACATCTAGTATCTAGATAAATTCGCCAGACACAATCGCGACAAAGTGATTCGTCCCCCCAAAGATAAGTATTTGTATTTCTAGAGATCCAACTTAAATTAGATTATTTGTATTACTTTATCCCACACGGCTAACGGAAGCCTTCCATCAGAGATAGGCATTCCAAGATATGTAATTGGAAATTGATCCACTTTACACTCCAACATGTTAGCCAACGCCAAAACCAGATTGTCATCACAATTGATCCCTATCATAGAAGTTTTATTAAAATTCACTTTAAGCCCCAAAGCCACCTCGCAGCAACATAGGAAAGTGGCTATACTATTTATCTTAGCAGCTTCTACTCAACATAATATCAGGGTATCATCAGCATATTGTAAATGCAATATACAAGGCCTTCTATTAGATACCCTGAATACTTAAAAGTTACCCCTACTCTCCACATTTTTTATTAGAAAGTTGAAGCACTCAGCATAAATTGTAAAAAGAAAGGGCGATCGGGGATCACCTTGGTGTAGTCCTCGAGAGGCATTAAAGAAGCCCGCATGACTTTCCTTATAAAGAATGGTGAAATGGACCGATGACAGGCATCCATAGATCCAGCTTCTCCATCTTTATCCAAAACGCATATTTTTCATGATTTCTAACAACACACTCCACTCCACCTTGTCATACGTCTTTTCCATATCAAGCTTGATCACTACCCTAAGCATCCCACTCGAGACTTTAGAACGAACACACTCGTGAGCCACCAACACATTATATGTGATTAATCTGTCTATGATAAGATCCCAAAAAAATCAATAGAAACACCATTTTCAATCTTTCTCAGTTTATATGCCTAATAAGATCATTATATGTTTATGCGCTTAATAAGATCATTATATGTTTTGTGAAATGATATTGGGGACGTATATCGTGTTATCACCTAATGAAAATTTGCACAAATTTTTTTGTCATGGACCTTAAATTCTAAGAATTCATGACATAAAATTAGTGTTCAATAACTTAATTGTATCCTTACACTAACTAGAAATCATTTCCTTATTTCATGTTTATATGTATAATTATTAATTTTTCTCTTTTGGTTTAGGCAAATGTGTAGTATTAGCTATTTGTCTGTTATCTAATTTTTTATTATCTCTATGTTTGCCCTGAAATTTTGCCCTTTGGACAAACCTGGTTTATTGCAAGGCTTTTTTATTTGTTGATATATTATTATTTTTCCACTTACTATGTTCTCAACTGCAGCCGTTCAAGCGAAGAAGAAAAGAATTCAGAGATGATTTGGAGAAGGAAACGAATTTAGGGATGATCCGGAGAGGATTTGGTGTCAATTGGGTTGAATAGTTGGAGTGGAGGGGTATGTAGAATTGCGGATAATCGCTATCTTTATTCGAAGAAGTTTAGGACAATGTTTGTATAACGTTGAGTTTATATTAGTTTATTGTATACAAGGTGTCAACCTTATATTATAAGAATGAGACTTTATAATATAAGGAAATAAGACATCTCAAAAACCCACTCGAGAATTTTTCTGACCAATTGGTAGACTCTCCCGTTGATCATCTTGAATTTTTTAAAAAATAATGCATCTTGTCGTATATTATTTGAAATTTCCTTTTAAGTATTTATAGATGTATTCAACTTGTATTTTTTTAAGCTTTAACTTTCACACCCCAAAATTTAATATGGAAAAGTATAGAATGAATTTTTTTGTGCAACGTGGTGACAATTAATCTTGACCTTTATGTGAAATTGTGTCGTTGCATTTATTCCATTGACCAAGCACAAAGTCCAAAAGAAATTTTCTAGAACTTTGTGACACACTAAAGCTATCAAATTTCA